AAAGGGAGTGGGGGCCCGGTAGTGAGGGGGGAGCCGGTAGTGAGCGGAGGCCCGGTAGTGAGGAGAGGCCCGGGGGGGCTGGAGGGGAGCCCGGTAGTGAGGGGGAGAGCCAGGTAGTGAGCGAGAGAGCCAGGTAGTGAGAGAGCCAGGTAGTGAGAGAGCCAGGTAAGACTCAGGTTGTCATGGTGATCACTTCCTTGTTTCTAGCATTTCCTGCTCTTCCCCTCACTAACACCGTGTGGTGTTCCCTCACACCGTGTGGTGGTGTTGCTCCCTCACACCGTGTGGTGGTGTTGCTCCCTCACACCGTGTGGTAGTGTTGCTCCCTCACACCGTGTAGTGGTGTTGTTCCCTCACAGTGATGTTGCTCCCTCACACCGTGTGGTGGTGTTGCTCCCTCACACCGTGTGGTGGTGTTGCTCCCTCACACCGTGTGGTGGTGTTGTTCCCTCACACCGTGTGGTGGTGTTGCTCCCTCACACCATGTGGTGGTGTTGCTCCCTCACACCGTGTGGTGGTGTTGCTCCCTCACACCGTGTGGTGGTGTTCCCTCACAGTGGTGTTGCTCCCTCACAGTGATGTTGCTCCCTCACACCGTGTAGTGTTGTTCTTCCCTCACAGTGGTGTTGCTCCCTCACACCGTGTAGTGGTGTTGCTCCCTCACAGTGGTGTTGCTCCCTCACACCGTGTAGTGGTGTTGCTCCCTCACACCGTGTAGTGGTGTTATTCCCTCACAGTGGTGTTGCTCCCTCACACCGTGTAGTGGTGTTGTTCCCTCACACCGTGTAGTGGTGTTTTTCCCTCACAGTGGTGTTGCTCCCTCACACCGTGTAGTGGTGTTGTTCCCTCACACCGTGTAGTGGTGTTGCTCCCTCACACCGTGTAGTGGTGTTGCTCCCTCACAGTGGTGTTGCTCCCTCACACCGTGTAGTGGTGTTGTTCCCTCACAGTGATGTTGCTCCCTCACAGTGGTGTTGCTCCCTCACACCGTGTAGTGGTGTTGTTCCCTCATAGTGGTGTTGCTCCCTCACAGTGGTGTTGCTCCCTCACACCGTGTAGTGTTGTACCCTCACAGTGGTGTTGCTCCCTCACAGTGGTGTTGCTCCCTCACACCGTGTAGGTGTTGCTCCCTCACAGTGGTGTTGCTCCCTCACACCGTGTAGGTGTTGCTCCCTCACACCGTGTAGTGTTGTTCCCTCACAGTGGTGTTGCTCCCTCACACCGTATAGTGTTGTTGTTGCCTCACAGTGATGTTGCTCCCTCACAGTGGTGTTGCTCCCTCACACCGTGTAGTGTTGTTCCCTCACAGTGGTGTTGCTCCCTCACACCGTGTAGTGTTGTACCCTCACAGTGGTGTTGCTCCCTCACAGTGGTGTTGCTCCCTCACACCGTGTAGTTGTTGCTCCCTCACACCATGTAGTTGTTGCTCCCTCACACCGTGTAGTGTTGTTGTTCCATCACAGTGATGTTGCTCCCTCACAGTGGTGTTGCTCCCTCACACCGTGTAGTGTTGTTCCCTCACACCGTGTAATGTTGCTCCCTCACACCGTGTAGTGGTGTTGCTCCCTCACACCGTGTGGTGTTGCTCCCTCACACCGTGTAGGTGTTGCTCCCTCATACCGTGTAGTGGTGTTGCTCCCTCACACCGTGTAGGTGTTGCTCCCTCACACCGTGTAGTGGTGTTGCTCCCTCACACCGTGTAGGTGTTGCTCCCTCACACCGTGTGGTGTTGCTTCCTCAGTGTGTGGTGGTGTTGCTCCCTCACACCGTGTGGTGTTGCTCCCTCACAGTGTGTGGTGGTGTTGCTCCCTCACACCGTGTGGTGTTGCTCCCTCACACCGTGTGGTGTTGCTCCCTTACAGTGGTGTTGCTCCCTCACATTGGTGTTGCTCGTTCACACCATGTAATGGTGTTGCTCCCTCACACCATGTAGTGTTGCTCCCTCACAGTGTGTGGTGTTGCTCCCTCACACCGTGTGGTGTTGCTCCCTCACACCGTGTAGTGTTGCTCCCTCACACCGTGTAGTGTTGCTCCCTCACACCGTGTGGTGTTGCTCCCTCACACCGTGTGGTGGTGTTCCCTCACACCGTGTGGTGGTGTTCCCTCACACCGTGTGGTGTTGCTCCCTCACACCGTGTGGTGGTGTTCCCTCACACCGTGTGGTGGTGTTCCCTCACACCGTGTGGTGTTGCTCCCTCACACCGTGTGGTGGTGTTGCTTCCTCACACCGTGTAGTGGTGTTGCTCCCTCACACCGTGTGGTGTTGCTCCCTCACAGTGTGTGGTGGTGTTGCTCCCTCACACCGTGTAGTGGTGCTGCTCCCTCACACCGTGTAGTGTTCCCTCACACCGTGTAGTGTTGCTCCCTCACACCGTGTGGTGTTGCTCCCTCACACCGTGTGGTGGTGTTCCCTCACACCATGTGGTGTTGTTCCCTCACACCGTGTGGTGTTGCTCCCTCACACCGTGTGGTGGTGTTGCTCCCTCACACCGTGTAGTGGTGTTGCTCCCTCACACCGTGTAGTGGTGTTGCTCCCTCACACCGTGTGGTGGTGTTGCTCCCTCACACCGTGTAGTGGTGCTGCTCCCTCACAACTTGTGGTGGTGTTGCTCCCTCACACCGTGTAGTGTTGTTCCCTCACACCGTGTAGTGGTGTTGCTTCCTCACACCGTGTGGTGTTGCTCCCTCACACCGTGTAGTGTTGCTCCCTCACACCGTGTGGTGGTGTTGCTCCCTCACACCGTGTGGTGTTGCTCCCTCACACCGTGTAGTGTTGCTCCCTCACACCGTGTGGTGTTGCTCTCTCACACCGTGTGGTGTTGCTCCCTCACACCGTGTGGTGGTGTTGCTCCCTCACACCGTGTGGTGTTGCTCCCTCACACCGTGTGGTGGTGTTGCTCCCTCACACCGTGTGGTGGTGTTGCTCCCTCACACCGTGTGGTGGTGTGCTCCCTCACACCGTGTGGTGTTGCTCCCTCACACCGTGTGGTGGTGTTGCTCCTCACACCGTGTGGTGTTGCTCCTCACACCGTGTAGTGTTGCTCCCTCACACCGTGTGGTGGTGTTGCTCCCTCACACCGTGTGGTGTGTGTGCTCCCTCACACCGTGTAGTGGTGTTGCTCCCTCACACCGTGTAGTGGTGTTGCTCCCTCAACCGTGTGGTGGTGTTGCTCCCTCACACCGTGTAGTGGTGCTGCTCCCTCACAACTTGTGGTGGTGTTGCTCCCTCACACCGTGTAGTGTTGTTCCCTCACACCGTGTAGTGGTGTTGCTTCCTCACACCGTGTGGTGTTGCTCCCTCACACCGTGTAGTGTTGCTCCCTCACACCGTGTGGTGGTGTTGCTCCCTCACACCGTGTGGTGTTGCTCCCTCACACCGTGTAGTGTTGCTCCCTCACACCGTGTGGTGGTGTTGCTCTCTCACACCGTGTGGTGGTGTTGCTCCCTCACACCGTGTGGTGTTGCTCCCTCACACCGTGTGGTGTTGCTCCCTCACACCGTGTGGTGTTGCTCCCTCACACCGTGTGGTGGTGTTGCTCCCTCACACCGTGTGGTGGTGTTGCTCCCTCACACCGTGTGGTGGTGTTGCTCCCTCACACCGTGTGGTGGTGTTGCTCCCTCACACCGTGTGGTGTTGCTCCCTCACACCGTGTAGTGTTGCTCCCTCACACCGTGTGGTGGTGTTGCTCCCTCACACCGTGTGGTGGTGTTGCTCCCTCACACCGTGTGGTGGTGTTGCTCCCTCACACCGTGTGGTGGTGTTGCTCCTCACACCGTGTAGTGGTGTTGCTCCCTCACACCGTGTGGCGTTGCTTCCTCACAGTGTGTGGTGGTGTTGCTCCCTCACACCGTGTGGTGTTGCTCCCTCACAGTGTGTGGTGGTGTTTCTCCCTCACACCACACCGTGTGGTGGTGTTGCTCCCTCACAGTGTGTGGTGGTGTTGCTCCCTCACACCGTGTGGTGGTGTTGCTCCCTCACACCGTGTGGTGGTGTTGCTCCCTCACACCGTGTGGTGGTGTTGCTCCCTCACACCGTGTGGTGGTGTTGCTCCCTCACACCGTGTGGTGGTGTTGCTCCCTCACACCGTGTGGTGGTGTTGCTCCTCACACGTGTGGTGGTGTTGCTCCCTCACACGTGTGGTGGTGTTGCTCCCTCACACCGTGTGGTGGTGTTGCTCCCTCACACCGTGTGGTGGTGTTGCTCCCTCACTCTTTGCGTTCTGTTGGTTACGAAAATTAAAGACCATCTATCCATTTTTTCCTATTATGCTTTTATCACGCATTTTGTGCGCTATTACACCAAGATGCACTTGTCGAAGGCTTCACAAAGTCTTTGTATACTGCATCTGCATTCTGTTTATCCTCCAGTGCATCCAAGACCATGTCATAGTGGTCCAGTAGTTGTGAAAGGCAGGAGCGACCTGCACTAAACTTACGCTGCCCTGGGTTGTGCAACTGCTGGCTAACCAAGTGGCTGGGGATCTTGCTTCTTAGAAGTCTTTCAAAAAATTTTATGATGTGGGATGTTTGTGCTAGAGGTCTACAATTCTTTGCTATTGTTTTGCTGCCACCTTTGTAGAGTGGGATTATGTCTGTTGTTTTTAGTGACTGTGGGATGACCCCCGTGTCTAGGCACCCTCTCCATACAGTACAATGATACAGTGTTACACTACGATAGTGTTACACTGTGATACAGTGATACACTATGATACAGTCTTAGTATTTTTCAGTATTACTGTCACATGCTTGCACTCTACACAGGTCTTTCCATAACTGGACGACAAATATTTTTATGCAATCCTAGCCTGTAAACTGAAATATACCAGTGTATACATAACTGGTGAATTTTTTGGTGGGTTAGTGGATGGTCGAGAGTGTGAGTGTGTGTGTTATTAGATGTCAAAGGCACTTGTCAAAAGACACTGGCCCCCTCCCTCCCCCCTTTTTTGTGTGTGTGTGAATAAAGAGTGGTGGAGGGACGTAGTGGTGGAGATACTCACCGTGGAGAGTATGGAGGGTCACATAAGAGAGCGGAGGACACACACTGTCACCCACGGCGCCACCTGTAACAACAACAACGCCATTATATACAACATCCCAACAAATGTGTCAATCTCAAGTAGCCACAACAGAGCGGTGCTTCAGTAACACACCACATACAAACAACGTACATACAAGGAGGTGATTACACACACACACACACACACACAACACACACACACACACCACACACACACACACATATTATATATATATATATATATATATATTATATATATATATATATTTGGATTTCTTCCTGAAGCCGTTTGAATATTCCACTTCCCCTACCACCCCATCTTTTCATAATTTTTTTTTTTACCAATAGGAATATTTTATTACATAATATGGTACAGAAGATTTAAGAGATACATTGATATAAAGGTGGCATATACGGTACATGTTACGTGTGTATCACCGATTATAAGGCGAAAATCTCATCCAGCTCCTCAGAGCTGGGGCGTGTGCCCAAAATATAGCAGGCATTACCCCTTGGAACAGCCGCACCGAGCCGCTGGAACAGAAAACTAGCTGCCCTGGGATCCCTAGTTACCCTGATAAGTCTTTTTCCCAGCTCCTTAAGGAACTTAGATGCACTCTTTCCCCATGAGCCAAGGGTCTCTGAGCCTATGGGAACAAATATATAATGATAGGCAAGTTCTCCATATTTTCTAGACTTTTGGGACTCACTGAAGCTGGCAGCTGCCCCTCCTTCCTAACTGGTGTATTGGAGTAGATATCAGAGAAGACAATAAACGTACCTCAGGGAAAACTCAGGGTTCTCCCCGGAGCTGTTTGAATATTTCCTTCTCCTACCACCCACTATATTTTATATTCTATGGGAACATTTATTAATAAACAGAATACATTTACAGAAAACACAAACATGAATACAATGGTACAATGTGTTAAAGATCATGAATTCCTCCAGCTCCTCCGAAGCCGGACGCGAGCCAAGTATGCAGCAAGCATTTCCCCTCTGGATGGTCACGCTGAGGCGCTGGAACATGAAAGTGGCTGCCCTTGGGTCCCTGGTGGTGTCGATGAGTCTGGAACCCAATTCTTTAAGGAAACGTGTGGCATTTTTTCCCCATGATCCTAAGGTCTCTGATACCACTGGGACAAATTGATACTGTTGGCTTATGTCCCTGTACTTGCTGACCTTGTACTCCTCCCTGTGGTCAGCAGCTCCTCCCTGTCGCCCCACACTGTGATGGATATAGGTGTCAGCCAGTGTGGACACACAGGTATAGCCCCATGTTAAGAGCTTGCCATTCTTCCAAGGATAGATGGTGATCCCGTTGGGGCGGTTTGCTGGGTTGTGGATATTGTTGGCTGCTAGTGATCGGGGCTCCCTCTCGGCTGGGCATCCAGCTGCAGCAAGGGTTCTCTTTATGATGTCGTTGACTTCATTGTGTCTTGCATGCCAGCCCTTGGTTTTGGAACAGTTAAGACCATGTAGACCATATTGGTCTGCTTGCACTTCGCTGCAAATACATGCATATTCTGTGTGAATTGGGGCAGCAAGGCGCAGAGCCACTGCAATACGGAGGGTCGAGTCGCGTTCCCATTGCCGATATGGGAACTGTTTGGAGGAAGTCCTCAGAGTGATGTGTGCTCACAGCCTGGAGACAGACAGTCTTCCTATCTGATGTTGCAGCCCTGAGCATGTTGGCAAGCACCTTTTCAGCGATCGGGCCATCCCAGCTTGAATGTCTGTGAGCCAGTGCTGCACTATGGTTTGGTGCTGGAGCAGCAGAGTCTCCCATTCAGTGTTGGCACTGGCATAGCTAGGGTCCTGTATTCCTGCCGAGTCACTGAGGTTATCAGGAAGAATTTGTCTTATCAACTCGTTTGATGCTATGGAAGAGGATAGGAAAGCTGGTAGAGCAATCTGGGAGGATCTGCGTACCCCCAGCCCCCCAAGCCAGACCAGAAGTGAGGCTTGCAATCACTGTCCATCTTCAAGGGAAAGATTCAATACACACTCTAGCATGGTCTTAAGGAGGGAGTCATATTCCTTGAGTTTTGGACTGCTGAAGGCTGGGGAGCATCTCAGAAAGTAGGTAAGTTTTTGGATTGACAGGCACTGGTGAGTAGGTAGAAGGCATCATGTGTGTCAATGTCTTTTATCTTGCTTTCCATCGTCCAGAGGTCGGAGACCTGTTTTTTTTTCTAGGATCAGATCGATGGCACTGGACCCAAGATGAGCGCCAAGGAGAGTGCTATTGGCTGGATCAATGGCTCGGGCTCCTGGTAAAACGGCGCTAATATTCTGAATTATCTGTCGATTGGTAGAAACTATTTCACACTTGGTGAGGTTTAAAGATAGGCCCAGGCTTTCTCCCATGTCTTTAATTTTACTGATGTCCTCTAGGAGAGATTCTGTTGTGCCAGCTAGGGTACCGTCGTCCAGGAACCAGATATTGAGCTCGCTGGAGAGTGCTTATGTGACTTCCTTGATGACCAAACAGAATAGAAAGGGGGGCGAAAGGATCCACCTGTTGCACGCCCTCACATGAGTCAATTTCATGGTCCCCAAACAATAGTTTGGAACTCACACTATAACACGATTCTCTGAAGGGATAAAGGGAAGGGAAGTTTCTATAAACTGCCTGGAGAGCAGCATCCCTTCTGAGTTGAAAGCGTTGGCAAAGTCCAATTTAACCAAGGTTTTTTCATCGGGCATGTTGTTGATATATACTCGTGCTACTTGGGCAGCTGCTTCACAGCCCTGTTAAACGCCAAAACTGAGCTTAGTTGGTTTCAGCATTGCAGCAGCCTCTTGATTCACCCTTCTTACTGCAGCCTTGGCGACTAGGCGCCGTAGGGTGTTGCCCACTGCAATGGGCCTGATTCTGCCATCCTTTTCCCGGAGGGCACACAATGAGGCACCAAAGAAAAGGGGTGTGATGGCCTCTGGGACACTGCCAGCCAGACATATATATTGCAAACAATCACAGACGGGCGATTTTAACTATGCAAGACAAGCCATGAAAGGGGGGGGGGTAATCTTTAGCTCAAGTACTTTCACACTTCTCAGTGAGTCATCAGGAGCTGTGCAATGTTGCAAGAGAGCAACCAAAGCAGGGAGAGAGGTCTCAGAGTAGTGTAGTGCGGTTGTGTCACCGTCCATGGTTACCCTTAGAATGTGGTTAGTGTGGTTACCCCATATGGGGAGTAGTGGGATGACCACTAACCACAGTCTACTCTGAGACCTCTTTCTCTGCTTTGGTTGCTCTCTTGCATGCAACATTGCATAGCTCCTGATGATGCAGTGAGAAGTGTGAAAGTACTTAAGCTAAAGATTTCCACCCCCCATGGAAGTGTGTATAAGAACATAAGAAGAACATAAGAAAGGAGGAACACTGCAGCAGGCCTGTTGGCCCATACTAGGCAGGTCCTTTACAATTCATCCCACTAACAAACATTTGACCAACCCAATTTTCAATGCTACCCAAGAAATAAGCTCTGATGTGCAAGTCCCACTCAAATCCAACCCCTCCCACTCATGTACTTATCCAACCTAAATTTGAAACTACCCAAAGTCCTAGCCTCAATAACCCAACTAGGTAGACTGTTCCACTCATCAACTACCCTATTTCCAAACCAATACTTTCCTATGTCCTTTCTAAATCTAAACTTATCTAATTTAATATCCATTACTGCGGGTTCTCTCTTGGAGAGATATCCTCAAGACCTTGTTAATATCCCCTTTATTAATACCTATCTTCCACTTATACACTTCGATCAGGTCTCCCCTCATTCTTCGTCTAAGAAGTGAATGTAACTTAAGAGTCTTCAATCTTTCTTCATAAGGAAGATTCTAATGCTATGTATTAATTTAGTCATCCTACGCTGAATGTTTTCTAACGAATTTATGTCCATTCTGTAATATGGAGACCAGAATTGAGCTGCAATAATCTAGGTGAGGCCTTACTAATGATGTATAAAGCTGCAGAATGACCTCTGGACTTCTGTTGCTTACACTTCTTGATATAAATCCCAGTAATCTATTTGCCTTATTACGTACGCTTAGGCATTGCTGTCTTGGTTTAAGGTTGCTGCTTACCATAACCCCCAAGTCCTTTTCGCAATCTGTATGGCTAAGTTCTACATTATTTAACTTATAAGTGCTAAGGTTACGGACACTTCCGAGCTTCAGAACCTATGCATTTATCTACATTGAACTGCATCTGCCACTTTCTGACCAAGAGTAGAGTTTGTCTAAATCCTCCTGAAGTTCCCTAACATCTACGTTTGAATCAATTATCCTACCTATCTTCGTGTCATCGGCGAATTTGCTCATATCACTAGTAATTCCTTCATCAAGATCATTGATATATATTATAAACAACAACGGGCCCAAGACTGATCCCTGTGGAACGCCACTTGTTACTGATCCCCACTCGGATTTAACCCCATTTATGGACACTCTCTGCTTCCTGTCTGTGAGCCATGATTCGATCCACGAGAGCACTCTTCCCCCAATGCCATGAGCTGCTACTTTCTTCAACAGTCTTTGGTGCGGAACTCTATCAAATGCCTTACTAAAATCTAAGGTAAACAATATCAAATTCTTTATCGTGGTCAACAGCCTCAAAAGCTTACTGAAGAAAGTTAATAAATTAGTTAGACAAGACCGGCCTCTTGTGAATCCATGCTGAGTATCATTAATCAAGCTATGCTTATCGAGATGGCTTCTTATAATCTCAGCTATAATTGACTCTAGCAACTTGCCTACAATTGAGGTCAGGCTTATTGGGCGGTAATTTGACGGTAACGACTTGTCCCCTGTTTTAAAATAGGAATTACATTAGCCATCTTCCACATATCAGACACTACACCTGTTTGAAGAGATAAATTAAAAATATTAGTTAATGGTTCACAGACTTCCATTTTGCATTCCTTAAGAACCCTTGAAAAAACCTCATCAGGACCCGGTGACTTATTTTGCTTCAGTCTGTCTATCTGCTTCACAACCATTTCACTAGTGACTGTGATGTTACATAATTTATCTTCT